CGTCCCTAGAGGCGAGGAGCGACTGCGCGTCACCCCGACACCAGGCCATGTCAAACCGTACCGTGACCATCTGGTCCAAGCTTTGCAGGGAGTCTGGGAACGCCTTGGCATCCGTAAGACGAGCGATTGGAAAGCGGCCGGTGGCTTTTTGGGCGTTGGGGTTGACGACGATGCGAAGAACCTCCCGCTCTGGAGCGATGCCCAGCTTGGGCTGCGTGAGGGAGAGGACCTCGAGAACGCACTGGAGCGCGAGTTGGTGGCTGAGGCGTTGCACAAACAGCAGATGATGCTGGATCTGCAGCAAGATGATTTGATGGCGCATGCTCATTTGAACGAATCAGTTCATGCCGTTCCTATCGGCGTCGCTGCGTAAACCAAGCGCGGATTCAAAAGCCGGACGGTTCTTCTCCTGCGCCCACAACGTGGGCCTCCTTTCGCTAGTGGTTTTCGTCTTAGTTTTTGTAGTCCTGACTTAGTGGAGGTCTATCATTCGTTCCTTCAATGTAGTGCTTGCCCGCCTCAATGACACTTGGTTTTGTGACTTCTGTGGTTCGAACGAATGTCGAGGATAAATATATATATATATATATATATATATAAACGCTCATTTATTTTGGTGGATTATCCAGCTTTTGTGTATCTTTTCTGGCCATCTTAGCTATTTCCGCTTTACACCAACTCGCCTTTTTGGTTTTCGGAGGGGATCTTACGTATTTATTCACGGGTAATTTATATGATTCCCTCCAGCTTGCTGTGGTGATTTTTTGTCCAGTGTTTGCTTGGATGGGTTAAGCTTATTCTACCCGCCTCTTTGGTGCTTTGATGTACACCATATCTGTTGATTTTTTATTTTTAATTTTTTTAATTTTTTGGGTGATATAAATAAATATATAGCTGGTCAAGCACGTAACAGGTTGGGCCACTTCCCAATGGAATTAGCCTTTTCGATTCAGTTAAAAAAAAAACCACAACCTTTTAACCTCTCCCACAGCTATGAGGTTCTCATCGGTGGATGGGGTTATATTTAGATGCGGGTTTTCCATAATCTTTTGAGAAACAAGCAGGCAGGCAAGCAGGCACTATACAATTTTCGCCCTTCCCACCACCGACCTTGTTCGTATATTTAAACTAAAACTGAAATAAGGAGTTGAGAAATAATTGCAGTTCCGTCCAAAACCCCTTAGAAAATTTCCACCCCCCCCCTCCCCCAACGCCTCTTATTATTACTATTATTACTATTATTATTACCTCCTCCCTCCCCTACTAACTTTCGGAAACTCCACCGGGACCCGCAACTTCGCAATCCGCCTTGCCCCTGCTTCAACCTTGCTCCTAACCCCCCATTTCGCAAACTCGCTCTCTCTAGGCTTTCCCACCTTGCACCCCAACTCCCTGAAGTACTGCTGGATGGTATGGAACTCGAGACCCAGGTCATCGCGCAGGTCCGCAGGGTCCGTTGCAAGCTCGTTGTGCGAAAAGCCCGCCTCGGGCGGGATATGCAGGGACAGCGCACAGATGGTGGTGTGCAAGAAGGTGACGTCTGTTTTGGAGAGGAAGTAGCGTTGCGGGACGAATTTGCGGCGGAGGGCTTCGAGGAAGGAGTCTGGGAGGAGAGGGGATGGGTTGCTCGTCGATGTCATTGCCGTTGCCGTGGCCGTGGCCGTGGCTGTTGTCGCTGTCGCTGTCGCTGTCGCTGTCCTCCCGGGCTGTGTGTAGGAGGAAGAGGAGAGGATGCGCCGCAGGTCCTCGCGGGGCGGCAGCTTCTTGCTCCCCGCTGCCATTGCTGACGATGCTCCTCCACCGCGACTGGGTTTCAGAGACCGCGACAGCTGGATGAGAACCATGATATAGCGTAGCAATTGCAGCTGCGTCGCATCGCCCGACCGCACGACGTGGTCGACCCTGTGCGCCACGAAGCGGGAGCTTGAAAGCACCGGTTCCCCCGCAGCAATGGACGTCTGCCACTCCTTGACGGGCATGGTGCGCAGGGTCGACAGGCCGTTGGGAACCAGGGTTTCGATCGCGTAGACCTGCGACGGGTGCGTGGCGGCTAGGTTTGGTTGGGGAAGTGGCTTTGCAGCTTGGATTTCGGCCTGGGCGGTCTTCTGTGGGGAGCCGCCGGAAGCGGTTGGGTGGTCCTTAGGGATTGAGGAAAGAAGGGCATTCTCTGCGGCGCTGGGGCTGAGGCCGGCTGGGGCGTTGGAGAGGAGGGCGTTCTCTGCGACGGATATGATGGCTTTGCGGGATTGTTTGGTGCCGAAAGCTTCAGTGAGGGCGGTGCGTTTTGCCCAGTTGGATTGCTAACCGGTTATTTTCAAGTTAGCGATAGGTGGATATCTTCTTCTTCTTCTTCTTTTTCTTTCGTTGAGGGGATACAGCAATATGTATAAGGGGGAAATATACCATAGCAAGATCCCCATCACTTCCCTCATCGTTAGTAGGCTTCCTGGGCACACGTCTCACACAACTGCGAACCGTCATCTTCCTCGCCTCCATGAGCTCCAGGGTGCGGGCGTCCGAGTCATAGACGGCCACGTAGTGATTCCAGAGCGTATCCAGCTCATTCTCACCCTCTTTGCCGATGAAGTCTATCCTTGGATGCGCGGATGACTGCAGGAGGAATTCGGAAGTGGAGAGGGTTGTGTTTGCGGCTGCATTTTGCTTTGAAGCGGAGGGTCGATTTTGATGGCGCGGTTTTGAATATGCAGTTAGGGGGATAGAGTTTGGAAGGTTGATACCCGGCGTAGATGCTAGATATGTATCGAGGAGGCAGTGGGAAGTGTTTTGTTAGCTCTTGTTTTTTTTTTCTCTCTCATTTTGCTAGTTTTCTATTTTCTTGTCTTCATGGATGGAAATGAAGGTGGAAGGACTCTCGGCAATCCTCGCAAAACAGGAGAAAATGAATATATATGTATGTATGTATATCTAACCTATGATAGGAACCAGCCCATTCGTATTTTGCACAAATTGAACCTTGACAGCTGGCGCAACAGGCGCAAGAGCAGGTTTCTTGCTGGGTCGATCGGGCTTTTCAGAAGTTCGTTTTCGCTTCTTCTCCGCTGTGAGTTCGACTCCCATCGTTGTTTGGTGGGTTAGTCGGCTTAGTGGTTTCTTTTGTAAATTCCCTAGAGGCAATGTTCAAAATGGGGTAATTGAATGGGACTTGGAATTGGGTTTCTTGAGGAATGTAGAATGTTTGGGGTGGTTTGATGTCTGTGGTAGAGAAAAAGAATTAAAAAAAAAAATCCGCCGCTAACTTTATCGTGCAAACTACCTAGGGCTGGGAGACTGTTCAACATAGCCAACAAAGCAGTCAGTCATTTGAATTTTCATCAACAATTCTGCGGAATCTGAATGGAAGAGTCACAGGAGAGTTCAAGCATTACTATGGGGGACAAACTGAATTCATTTATTCAGGCCATTTCCCGTCAACTTCCACGAGCAGATTTTCTACCTTGAAGAAAATGTAATGATTATGGAGAAAGAGAATGGTTTAAGGCGGCCAAAAGCAATTACAATGGAAGAGGTAACGAGAAGAAGGAAAACCAATAGGCTTGTATTTTCAAGTAAGCCCCAACAGCTCCGTAATTCCTATATGAATGCAATCTTGCCCTCTTTCCTGTTACCCCTCCAGCTGCTCTCCATTTGCAGGGACAAATTGCAAGGGGAATATAAAGAGAGCATAAAAACAAAAAACATTCAGGAACGGGAAGAATTGACCAGCGCTCTGCCATCCACACAAAAACCAGACTCTCGATCAAGACGTGAAAAAAAGGTAGCGTATGAAGTTTCTTCGTTTACACATTTTCTTCCCTTTCCCAACCATTCATTTCCCGCGGCCGAGCATTTAAGAAAAATAAAAAGAGGCGTTCAAAGAAAACAATAAACTCATGGCGCAAATTCCTTTTCCCCGTCGTAACTTTTCGTTAACTTAATGAAGAAATATAAGGCGGCGCTCAGAACGGTTGACATGCTGAAAAACAAGAGGGATCTGAGCTTGAGACGGAAACAAAGGGTAAGGGAACGGGGGTTCATCGAGTTCGTCTTTTTGCGGTCGTTACGTTGAGTTCAAGTTTATGCTTTTCTTGTCTTTGTTTTCTTTTCTTTTTTCTTTTTTTTTTTTTCATGGCGAGTGTACAATCGGTGAAGTTTCACTCTCAGCCCGAGAGGATCGTGTTTTCATGCATGAATAGAGAGAAACTGATACGGAGTGGTCGGGTTGTTTACTTGCTGTAATGGGCGTAGTCTCCAAGTCAGCATACATGTTTTCCTTCGAGGAAAGCAAGTTGTTCCAGAATACAAGCACGAACCTTCTAGCCCGGACCTTTCTGCGCTTACGCTTCAGCCGTCGAACGCGCTTCTTTCTCCACTTGGCTCTCATCTTCGCAGAGTTTTAACTGTTGTGGTTGTTGGTGTGGTTAGTAATTGCATACTTGATTATGTTGCTGTGTTCCGCGTCAACGGATGCAAGGTGCATGCAAAGACTGAGGAATCTGTCCTCAAGTATAGAGTATATATATGTGGCTATGCCTCTATACCGGATGGGCAGCGGGAGGGAATGGGAACTTACACTTCTTTGACGATGAGGGGGACAGTTGCTGGGAGGAAGGAGAGAAGTTGGACCTCAGGACGAGGAGATTTGCTTTGTAGTGTGCGCGGCTGACTCAGCGACCTTGACGCTAAGGGCTGAGTGGCTGCCCAAGCGAGAAGTGCAAGTGGTTACGTAAGTTGAATATGGGCATGGTCTGATGGGGAACTGCCTTTATGCAGAAAAAATGACTATCGCAGTACGAGGTATAATAATGCAATTGAATGATATATTTATAAAGAGCTTAGTAGGTAAATAAAGTATCATGGGATTGAACGATGGTCTACGCACTCGGGACGCGATATATGCAAAAGGATCAAAACAATAACAAACACAAGAGACAAGAATCAAACGCCAAAGAGCCCTGGGCAAAAAGAGAATATAAGCAAAAGGCGTCAGTAAAATCCATCAATCAAGCGGCGGCAGCAACAGTAGCAGCGGCGGAGTCGGCTGCGATAGGCCCAGTCTGGACGCCAATGGTAGTCTGTACTCCAACTCGTTCTTTGCCCAACAGATCAGCAAGCAGAGAGCTGGGGCGGCTGTCTCGTTGAGGTTGGAACATAGCTTGGGTGGTTTTGTATTTTTGCACGCTCTCCAGGTAGATATCAAAAAGATACGAAGAATCGAGCGGGCCACCCTTTGCCTCCGGATGGAATTGGGTACTGAAAATAGGTCGGGTCTTGTGGATAAGGCCTGTAAAGCAAGAAATTAATAAATAAAACATAGACGATTAGTTGGAATAGAAATAATATATTGACAAACCTTCGTTGCTAGAGTCGTTCAGGTTGATGAAGTAAGGCTTCCAGTCGCTTGGAAGCGTAGAAGCATCCACGGCATATCCGTGATTCTGACTGGTAATATGGCAGCGACCTGTCGTCAAATCCAGAGCTGGGATATTGTGCGCGCGGTTGCCATACTTCAGCTTGATGGTCCGAGCGCCAGACGCCAGGGCAAGAAGCTGATGGCCAAGGCAGATCCCCATTATTGGTACCTGGGACGTCTCCATCAGCTTGCGGAGGTTGAAGACGGTATCATGACAGTGGGTTGGGTCACCAGGTCCATTGGAGATGAACACTCCGTCGAAGTGGTGAGCGACTTTGTGGATGGGATAGTCGTAAGGGAAGACAGTGATGCTGGCACCCCGGTTGACGAGACTTCGCAGGATATTCTCCTTCACGCCGCAGTCGATAACAGCAACGTGTGCAGTACTGTTGCCAGGGCTGACATGGAAGGGAGCCTTGGTGCTGACCTTTTGCACCAAGTTGATTTGCTCCGGGTCAACAAAGGCCTCGTCCTGATCAGCGTCGTATTCCTCGCCAATTGTGATTCGGGCTAGGGAAGAACCCTGTTCTCGAAGATAAGTGACAATTTCGCGAGTGTCAACTCCAGAAATTGCGGGGACACCTTCCCTAGCACACCATTCACCGAGGCTCTCAACAGCCGTCCAGTGGCTGTAGCGCTCGGCAACATCAGCAACGACAACACCAACAGCCTGGAGACTCGGGGATTCGAAATATTTAAGAAGGCCATTTTCATCTCGTTCAGCGGATGGCACACCGTAGTTACCAATCAAGGGTTGGGTGAAGACCAAAATCTGGCCACGATAAGAAGGGTCACTCAAGGACTCCGGGTATCCTACGAGAGAAGTGGTGAAGACAGCTTCGCCAGAGATGTTTGACTTGGCGCCAAATGACTTCCCGTGGAATACCGGACCATCTCTGATTGTGAAAGTCGCCCTGTCATGAGAGGATGGGCTGATTTTGGTAGAAGGGTTGGCGGTCTGGGACAAATCGGTTCGATTGACGGTAGCCATAAACCGCGCGTTAAAAGCCGGACCCCTCAAAGCAGCGGTAAGATGAGTCCCCACTGGGGCTGATTTGATAACTCGTGCAAACATTATTGTTGATTTTTCTATATTTTGTAACCCGCTGGCTCGTTTTATGACTCAATTTACCGAAGCTTTCCAGAGATGATCTTCAATGAGGATTGAGTTAGTACAGTTGTGCCAATGGGCTAATACGGTAAGTTTTAGCATATTGAGCGTACCAGATATGTAGTCCTAGATCAGGGAAAAGTCAGCCAGGGATCACAGTCAGGGATCGCAGCCATAAGGGAAACGTGCTGACAGGGAAAGCGATTCTTCCAATTCTAAATGAAATGCTTAACATTACCTGGGGAAGTAAAGATGGAAGGAATTACACGCATAAAGCGCTGCTGTGCCCGTCAAGCACTAATATATACTATGTGTGAAAGGTAATGGGATGCTTAGAAGAGTAGGGAAGGCATTGATAGAACTGGCTGTGTGTGGTGAGAAGTGGTTTGTTGAAGAAAACAAAGAATATGGGAGGGGAAGAGCAAAACGGAAAAAGTTTTCTGGCTCAAAGCGGTGAGAGACCAAAGCGTGGGCCAACCAGAGCGCGGCGAAAGGCCTGTATTGTCATTTCCGTACCGCCATTCCTCCTATTGACGTACCATCTGGTAATCCCAGTAATATTACCAAACGAATTCCTTTTTATCGATCGATCTGATAACAGACTTTCCTATCACTAACTCTGCACACTTCAAACTTGATACGTCAATCTCAGGGGAAGATTCACTGAACCTTCTCTACCACCTTCCGGCGCTTCTCAGATACATCGGAGGAGCACGGGATGTAATCCTGCCACAGGACTTTTCCCAGGAACACAGTCTTGTCCTGGCAAGTTGCGAAATACATCTTACCAGACCCCGCATCCGGATGGAGCATGCGCCCTATTATACCCAGAAAGCACGCGATGCCATGCCTGATCACTTATGGGCAACAAAGTGGAACAGTATACTACTTCTTCGTTACATCTCGCAATTACAGCTCTTTTCCTTCATCACCGATATACGCAATCCTTAGTCATTTAGATGGCTTGCTAAACCATATCCAGATCGAAGGGCCAAGTTGTCTTTCCTAAGGATTTGCTCGAATATGCAGCATTTTATGTTCTAACTTAGGAAAGTCTTTTTCTAAATTGATGTCGTCGATATATGTATCGGTATCAGCTAATATACCCCATGAATTTCGATTTTCACCTATGACAGAGAGGCATGTTGCTGTCTGCTGGCAATTGTAATATGGTACCATTGACTGCTCAAATTTCGCCATCGGGATTTATTCCGTCCCCTTGCAAAAACGTAGCTGGTAGAAAGGACTAGATATACCCGTGAACCAACACCAAAAATCCTCATTCATTCCAACCGGCACCATATTTTTCCTCTCAATTCTAATGGCATAAAATCGGAGACCATACATAAGCTATAATGTCACTGGTCATTTTTCGCATTGCACTAAAATATAGATCTAAATCGCGTTATTTTTTTTTTTTTTTTCTTTTACATACCACATGGGCCTTTGTTCCATCCAAGGCTTGCAGTCTTTCTCTTTGCAGCCAAATGTATCAATTTCGAATAGCAACCATGTGGCTGCTTACTTCTTTCATTTAATATATAAATATTTGTCGGAGAATTCCTCAGGGGAAGTTGGGCGACGACAGTGGGGAAGAGAGCCATCATGGTTTGTTAAGGGGTATGTGGCTGGTGGCTGGTTGGCTAGGAAGCTCGAGGAGATATGTAGACAGGTGGATTTGAGCATGAGCTCGGGTTGGCTTCTCTGTTTCTTTCTCCTGCATATGGAAAGGGATTCTTGTGTAGTATTATATATTATATGGAACCTGTTGAATATGCCTAGCTTTATTTTACTTTCTCATTGGTCGGCCGCTTTAGATTACTGCGCAACTCTCAGTTGGATTTTGCAAGCGTTGAGGTATCGGCAATTGTTGTATATATGCACGGTACAAAGAAAAGGCCCCTGAAAGCATGGTGATACAATGCTTAATATTCTCCCCCAAGATTTAGTTCTGCCTGAATACATTGTGTAGGGTAACTGCTTTCAAAGGATGAATGATACTAGTATCTAATGCACAAAGATTAGAATTGGGCAGGTTCCAAGCAGTCAAAATATGAAATTTCATTGACATCTATTTGTGGGGAAAAGAGAAACGTTAGACAAACGAGCAAAAATAAAACGGGATCAGTGTCTTACTCAACAATTGCGCGGCTGCTCTTCAATGCTCCATCAGACGGGCATTGCAATTCACGGATATATTCCCTTTGCTGTCCAGTGACAGGGTTCCTTGGACATGTAAGCAATCGGGGGAACTAGTGAGCGGAAAGCAGCGAAACGCGTTTAGTCTTCAAGGAGTGATGACGGATTTGTTCTGGTTTTCATTGACGAGCCACTTTCGCCGATGAGCAAATAGGAGAGCGGAGAGCCAAAAAATAGTCAAGTATTTCATCAAGTCTAGTGTTTGTAGAACTTTGTCAACTGCTTCAGGAACGAGGCCGATTTAAAGTTCCGGCCTAGCCCAAGTGGGGCTGCTAAGTAAGAATGCCAAGCGCAAGCCACCCAGCTTATTTTGACATCCACCGTTCGTCAACGTTGACTTGTGCCTGGGGTGAATGACCGTGGTGTAAATCTTTTGTATATCTTTTGTATATCTTTTGTATATCTTTTGAAAAGCCCTTTGCCGTGAGGCGGTTCATTCTTCATGACTCAGTAATATGAGATCGAGAGACGCTACTGGCCTTTTGAATTTTCTTTATTTGATTTCTCTCCAGGTGTTTCTTTCTTTTTGTTGCCTAGATCTTGATTGCTTGGTGCCTACATATCTAGTCTTGATAGAATCCAAGCAGTCACTGCCATCAAGCGTGGTAGTTTTATATCTTTCACTTGCTCCGATTTTGCCCCGCCACTTCATAGCTTTTTCTCGAGTGAAGTACGTGACAATGAATGTTTTATAAATACAAAACCGGCGAGTGATCTGAGGTTTTGTTTCGTATAATAAATATTGGGGCTAGATCCCTCTATCAATCGTTTTATCGATGATAGTATATCCATCGTGGAATATTTCCAAATTTCTCAATGAAGTCAGATGGGAATGGTTTTCTGTGTCTAGATATTATCCCATTCGCCCTTTCACAGAGCGCCAAACAGTTGACTTTAGATATCGATTATTCGATCCACAGCTTCTGATAAGCAAATCCCTGGTGGCGCTACTTGAAACCTATCTTGACTCCTACCTTAATGCATGTTTGCACGGATTTTCAAAGACAAACAACGCACATCTCTCCATTCTCTTGCTCCACGACGTTTCCGGGGATACCGTCACCTGTACCGTCCATTCACTCCAGCCCTTACGTCCCCCTCCCCTCTCCGATGTGAATAACACATCTACTGAGACCCAATGAACTTCATCGAAGAGAGTCTCGCTTAAGGCTAGCGTCGTCAGTGCCCCGGGCAAGGGATATAAAAACCCCTTTCCGCCCCGGGCCCCCTTTTTTCTTCTTCTCCTTTTCTCTCTTTTTCGCCCTGTGGACAGACTGCCTTCTGGCAACCTGCCTGGCTTTAGTTGCGCTAGGTACCTACATCGTAGGTAGCTAACGCAACAACCACTTTCTTAGCTTTCTAGTCTTCCTTTTCTTCATCTTCTAAGTAAGTACTTGTGACAAGTACTTACATTTTTTCTGTGTGTATCACATTTCATCCCATCCTCTCTCTTCTGGTTTATTCGCCTTGTTTCCTCACAAGGCAAATATCACATCATAAACCAGCTACCTGGTTTATGGTGCACATCACTTTCTTTTTGGTTTTCCCCTCTGGGGTTTTTCCACGTAGGGCTTCGGCACTACGAAAAAAGGATGCCCTCTCTTTTCTCCTCTCTCTTTTCTCCTCTCTCTTTTCTCCTCTCTCTTTTCCTCTCTCTTTTCCTCTCTCTTTTCCTCTCTCTTTCTTTTCTCTCTCCTTTTCTTTCTTTTCTCTCTCCTTTTCTCTCTCTTCTCTCTCCTTTTCTCTCTCATTTTTTTTTTTTTCCTATCATTCTCCTTTGCTTGTTGAAGGGAATGGAGAAGAAAAGAGTCGATGGTCTCGTGCACGCTTGTCTATGGCTAGTTAACTATGCAAATCATTACAATATTTTGCTTGACGCATTCAACCCCTGTTTTGTGTGCGATTTGAATCCGTTTTACCAATAAACTGAATACCATAGGACCCTTTCACCGTGGAACACTTTGTTTTGCCTTTCCCGATTCTGATAAGCCTACCCCATCCCTTAATTGCTTAATTATACAACAAAAGAAAGCGTGAGAAGTGAGAGGGGAAGAGAGGTTCTAAAAACACAACCCCTATTGTTTGCAGGCGAGGGCTTCATGTAAAGCGTTCTATAACAAATCAGAGTAAAAAGGCCAATAGGACGGCGGCGGCCAATGAAACGGACCCCTGGTTGCCAATAGAACATTTTTCGAAGTCATAAACAAAGTAAAAATAGAACGCTTTTTTTTTTTCTTTTCTTCTTCCTAAAACACAATTACACCGTGCTTTCCAAGGTATCGTCAAGAATTGCTTCACTTTTCTCCACAGACTCTTTCCGCACCCATTTCTTTTCTCACTGCTTCCATCGCTGTATCATCTCCGCTGCAGCCATATGGGACGTAATTTCGGGCTCAGAGTTGGCTGCAAACTTGATCACCGAAAGAAAACCACTCCCACAGCTCATATAATGGTAGGGGAGATATCCTTCGTCCCTCAAAGACATGGACTACTCCTTAAATCCTTATCAAAGAATTGGATATGTCAAAACATTCTTAGATTTCCAACCCACACTCTCATATGGTATGACCTCTGGAGATAATATTGAGTCAGTGAACGCAATAAAGAGGAGCAAATGGCAATGTCTGATGTATAATTCAACTATGGGGATGGCTTTCGGGCTTGTGCACGCCTGTACAAGCCATAATTCCACTTCATGACTTATGCAGCTTCATCGACGTCGACGATATCGGAATTCATGCTGACATTGACTACCTGATGCCGACCTGGCTTGCGGTTGCAACGACGACCTCTGCTCCTTGAAAGAACGGAGCAGCGAGTGAACTAGATTGACGGGGAACAGTTGTTTCGCTCCGTGTCATCGAGAAGGCAATTTTGCATACTTCTTGTTTGAAAGGGATTAAACGGAGCACCGCGGGTCATTCATGGACAACTGCAATATTTGGGATATAATAATTCAATTGCCCCTTTTGGATGTTTTTGTATCGGTTCTCTGGTTCCAGGAACTATGCCTGGCTTTGCCCTTCACGATGAAGGTGCCTTCGCGGAAGACACGTTCATAGAATTATCTAATATTTGCGCTCCCCGGTGGTGAGTTAGACCCACACGAATATCGTCCTTCGAATATTGTTTGTGTTTGATTGGTTTCTATTGCCTCAGTCTCCCTAATACTTGATATATGGACAGTTTTTCCTCCTGGGTGGCCCCTTCTTGTCGAGCAGTAATCCATCAACATACAGTACATACAGCAAGCCATATAACGACTTACCGAATCACAGAGTTCTTCCTGCAGGGGTGAAGTTAGCCTATGTCCTTATTGGAATACATAAGTTCCAGCAAAACTAAAGACCCTTTATGCGAA